TTTTTGGGTGAACTATCCCTTTAAATCCTGAGTGTCACTTAATCCATTTGCTTAGAACCTATTCCAGATCTAAGCACCACCAAGCAATCAGTCACGACTGACAAGATTTCCAGGAATGTTGGCCAAGTCTTACATCAGTTTCCTCTACATAGTCTAAAAGCTGGAGGAAATTGTTCTCATCCGTCTTTGATGTCAAATATCAGAATAGCCACTAATAGAAACTAAAATAATAAGTCACTGAAGTTTGAATTCAGGCACAGGTACATTACAGCAGAAAAAAAACAATAATAAAAAAAAACAAAAAACAATGTTTAACAGCATCAGAAAGAGTGTGAAAATGGTCATGTAAAATTAAAGGGGTCATATGATGCGATTTAAATTTTTCCTTTCTCTTTGAAGTGTTACAAGCTCTTGGTGCATAAAGAAGATCTGTAAAGTTGCAAAGACTAAAGTCTCAAATCCAAAGAGATATTCTTTATAAAAGTTAAGAGTCAACCACGCCTACCTAAAACGGCTCGTTCTAACACGCCCCCACATACCTACGTCACGATGTGGGAAGATTTGCATAAAGCCGCCCAAATGTTCACGCAAAGAAAGAAAGCATAACTTTTATTCTCGCTGTAGTATTGATACAAATAAAAGTAATGCTTGTTACATACTATTGACCCAGTACTGACACATATTATTTATTAGGTGGTTGGCTTTGAGGACAGTCGGTTCCCTTCAGATACATTCAAATAAAGACATCCGCGCCGCGTTATGGTTTTGACGTGAAACGTGCAGCACTTATATTTATTCAATGACATTATTGCCTTTTGAAGTTTAATCCAGCCATATCGCGAATCTTGTCTTTCCATCCCCAACTGTAAGACCTCTTGAAATTATAATTAAGACGCATCCCATACGGCATTACCTGATATTCATAGTGCTCCCTAGTGGTGAGAAAAGCTGTTTTCCATTCATCCCCTTCTTTGATTCTGATGAGATTATATGCACTTCGAAGATCGAGCTTGGTGTAGATTTTGGCTTCTCTGAGTTGTTCTAGTGCTGATGGCACTAAAGGAAGGGGATAGCGAAACTTAACAGTAATATTATTCAGTCCTCTATAATCAATACACAATACTTCGCGATCAGCACATGGACTGGTCTCAGTTTATATGAGAGTCAAACAGGAAGTGAAAGCAGAGGGAGTGGAGCACGGTCAGTACTCAGGCGAGGGCTCCCTCTGCTGGCTTGGCGTTACAGTAATTATAAAATCAGAAATGTTTTAGTAGCACTCAATGCTATTATTGAATGTTCTTACAAATGTGATTATTATTTTTTTTTTAGCATTTTTTCATTTATTATGATAGGAGAGTAGCTAGACAGGAAGCAAAGTGGAAGGGGGGGGACTCGAACTCGGGTGCTGTATGACGGCGCGCTACGATCAGCGCCAACACAAATGTGAATTATACTTATATTTTCCCTGTCTACAGTCTTTGATGGCAAACTTCAAAATAGTCACTAAAAAAACTAAAGTAATAAGTCACTAAAGCGTTTGTATTCTGGTACAGGTACATTACAGGAGGAAAAACAGATTGTTTAAAAAGTGAAGAAAATGTCCTATACAAGGACAAAACTTGCTTAAAAAGTAGATTTGTTTTTCAACAATTATGAAACAACATCAGAGTTGGAACTTTGACTAACATACTGTACTGTTCCAATGGCTCATTTACAGTAGCATGTGTCACACCATTGTAAGACATGTAGTAGACGGTTAGGTGCTATCAGGTCCTGTGAGAGGTTTAATGAGATGGTAGGACTCAAGCTCCATGCAGGCTGCAAGGACGCGTGAAATGAGGCGGTGGAGTTGGGATCAGAGGTATCTGAGGTAAGAGAAAGAGCAAGCATGAAACATCCCGAGTTAACAAACTGCCCTCCACTTCACACACCTGCTCAGTTTAGCATTTCTTTTTCTATAGGAGCTACAGAATGTTTGGCTAACTTGACTGATGCAAAAAAATGACAATCAGCCTAATAAGCTAAAATAATATTCAGGAGCTCCACCAGAGGACATTAAAAACTCTTTAAAATATATATATATATATTATTAATTCTTAGGTAAGAATTATTTTTGACTAGCAGAAACTACTTATTTTGTTAGAAATGTCAAAAGTATCGCTCAGACATTTCGGAAATACAGTGAATTTAGTTTAGTCAATCTGTAGTTTTCACTTGAAGAAATTACAGTCATTATATACCACATTAAACTAATATGCATCATGGTACTGAATGATTATCATATTACCATAGTATGCTACTATGGTACATGTCCAAAAATCTATGACTTTTTGATGTTTTTTTTGTTAGTGCAAGTAACAAAAAAAAGAAAATAATAATAATTTACACTAAATTGATATTTAACAAATGTAGAAATATAATTTAGCACATTTTCCTGTTTAAAATGAATAAGACAAAATAATAAAACATGTATACTAATACATCAGACCAGTGTTATTTCAGTATTTCGACTGTTATAGTTTTTATTTTTATAATTTCCATTTTTGTTTTAATTTTAGTATTTTGTTGTTTTTTTACATTAAATATGTAGATAGTTTTGTTATTATAAATTAATTATATTTATTCTATGTTATATTTATAATTTTTTATTATTTTTCCATTTAAGTTTTAGTTTACAAAAAATAGTTTTCAAATTTATTTTTTATGTTTTATTTTATTTTTTAAACAACAATACCTCTGCATCTGAAGCTGTCATAGACATCAGGCCATCCCTTTAAACAACAAAATCTATGACATTCTCTTTCCGTCAAAATCCTTGGATCATTTTCCTCTTTTAAACTGTAACATTACAGCTCCTCGGGCCCCCGACGGCCCCTAAATCATCCCACACCTCCATAAAATGTTTCATCTTGTTGAAGCGCATCGTTGGCACACCCCTGTTATCCAGACTAGAGAGAGAGCCTGCAGTGACTGCCATCTTTGCATATTAATTTACGTTAGGTCTGTTTTCGCTTGGCAGGTGCGGGTCTCTACGAACCAAGCGGGCCAATGCATCACCTTCTTAGTCTCCGAGGAGAGAAAGATCTATATTAGGGTGTCAGTGCTAACAGCTAATCATTAGCAGAGCCTTTCCTGGCCTGTAATTAAAGTGTCGGGCTTCATTTTGCCGAAGCCACATATAAAAACCCCTAGAGATGGACAGACACTTGATGGGTTTCGGAAACAGTAAATCCAATGTTGCTAACATACTTGTAGCTTTTGCAACACTTTTGAGTTCTCTTCTCAGTGTCATAATGCAGAAGCAGAGTCAAAACATTAAGCAACAGGAAAACCGCAGCGCTGATTTATGGCATCTCAAAAGCCTGCAAAGTCCCGACAAGCTGTGATGAATGAACGCTAATGCTCAAGATTAATCTGTATAATGCTAACTAACAGGTTTGACTCGAGGAGCTTAAGAGCAGCTCTCTCTGTTCGTGATCTTACAGCAGTATCACAGAAAATATGAAAGTGTTTGTCAGATCGGAGAGAAGGAACAGAGCTGGAGCGAGCTAGCTTTGACTCAAAACGACTCGTACTCGTACGACTTTACGACTCGTAGCCTCATACAGGAAGTGATGAATGGGCTAAAGCGGGAGCGATCCATCACGAGCAGGAGTATTAATTAATGTTGTAGGAGGAATGCCAGAAAGACCTGTTTCACATCAGCAAAAAGAAAGAGAAAGAGAAACAACGAACGAGAGAGAGAGACCTCTCGGTTTTCCAGCACTAGCACACATTTTAGCCTCCCCAGCAACAAAGGCTAAGCAAGCTAAGTGTAGTGTTTGCGTTGAAAGAAGCATAAACGTTTAATATACAGCAGACATCAGACAGGGGTGTAATGTGTTAGAACTATAGGACACCAGCTGCAAATGCTACCTCATTGATTTAGATTGCGACTGTAAATATTAAAAGCTTCAATGTTAGCATTTAGAAATATGTGAAATCATATTTTTAGTTATCTTTTCGAATTGACAGTTAAACTTTCAATTAGAAATCGACATTTTCGCTACTGGTTATAATTGATTCCGTTTTTCACTCAGTATTTTTTTTATGTTTTTGAATGAAGTCATTTATTGCTCACCAATTTCACCTATATTTGATCACAAATGCAGTAAAAATAGTCATATTGTGTAATATTATTGCAATTTTAAAATAACTTTTCAATTTGAATATATTTTAAAATGCAATTTATTCCTGTGATCCTTTAGAAATCATTCTAATATGCTGATTGTGATTATCAATAACATTGTTTTTTGAGGGGGAAATCAGCATATTAGAATGATTTCTGAAGGATCATGCGAAAAATACATACATGCATACATATTAGGATTCTTTGATGAACAGAGAGTTTAAAAGAACATTTATCTGTAACCATGTAAAGCATTACTGCCACTTTTGATCAATTAAATACTTCCATGCTAAATTAAAGATCTTAGTGAATCCATACTTTTGAAAGGTAGCGCAACTACGCAAAACCCAAATCAATATTGTATGTCCATCATAGTTTTAAGGACAGAATTCACAAAATAGATTCTAATTTAAAGCAGTTTTGAATTAGATGTGTGATTTTCCTTACAGGAAAAGAAGACCTTATAAGTGACCAAGCCATTTTTCCAGAGCTTTCTCAACCATGTCAACCAAAAATCTTTCACGCTCAAGAGCTTGTTCTTCCCATACCAGAGCAATAGCTGCTTAAATACATAGAACTGCACAACAGAGGTATGTTCTTCTGATTGTGAACAGTGTACAAAGAGTTTGTGACTTTAAGTCCAAAACCTCTTTTGAGCAAGAATCATTGACTAAAGATGCATTTTGGGCTAAAGGAACTGCTAGCCCATTTATAAACACTCCTTAATGAGCCGGCTGGCCAGCTGCCTATGAAAAATAAAGCCTGCCATTTATTAGCAGTGTAATTAGCTACACCCACCTACAAACCCTTGAGACAAAACTGCTTGTGCACCTCACTGGCAATTCACCACTTTGTTAAATCTGCATTTTGCAGCACATCTCTTGTGTTTTGTAAAGTCATAAGAAGCTACGCTAAGGAAGTCGAGTCCATGAACCCTGGCGTCTCTGTAGTATTTCAACCGTTCCTCATTACGACCACTATAACCAGGCTGATGGATGCAGAAAACATCCATCACTCCACCATGCAGCACTGCAAGCAGGTCAAACATTACAGAAGTGAAATTATCACTGCCCATAATTTTTTTCCGCAGGCATTAAATGTGGCATTTATCACAAGGCTGGTCCCCAATCTGCTGCTTAAAATTTTTTTTTTTTTAAAGTGTCGGATAGCGCTGGTGTGAAAAAAATCTCTCCTTGGACCATTTAAGACAGGCACAACTTATAGATGCGGCAGAAGTAAAGGCTGTGTCTAATAATTAATGAAACAGAATTTTATGTTCAAAGTCATGAATACTAACGCCCTTGTGAGTTCTTATTTTAACTTTTTTTTAATGAACTACTTGTTGAGCCTTCCTTAACATGAATTTCCAGTTAAACTTTGTCCCCAGTCATTTAGGTCGCATGCAGTAATGAGTGTGTACAAGTTTTGTAGTTACTGTATGAGAATGGAAAGGATTCTCAATATTTCATTTTCAACATGAATTTTTCTAACCTTGTTCTTATATTGTCGAATTTGGATTATTCTAAATGTATTCTAAATGAGGGGAGTGTACCTGAAGTTAGTAATTACTTAGCATAAAAACTCAAACCATTTTCATATAAGGGATTTCCACACAGCATTTACTGTACATTCAATTTGTAAACGTGTCACGTAGGCCTACTCGTTTAATGTATCACTCTGAAAAGGAGTTGAAACACAATCAAAACTGCACAGACTTAATTTAATCAACAGCATATTTATACAGACTGTACAAATAATTTAACATACCTTACCACACAAAGTGTGCTGAGAGACTGCGTTATTTTACCAAAGGTAAACAAACTCTTGTGATAGCTATTCAAATAGTGTTGCTCAATAAACCAGTTCAATAAACAAGTGAAAACGGACTTAGCTACTTACTTTTTTGGACACAATGTGGCCTGTTATTTTGTTTTGCCAGCGAAAACAGTTCAACTTCAGAGCAGAATCAGTTGTGTAGCCTATCTCCAGACCAGTCGGTATAGGCTTTTCTAAATGAATCTTCTGTGTTTTAAACGAATCGCTTGAGTAAATGATTCCTGAATAAATCTGTAGGCTACATTTCGTTGAATTAATGATTCTATGATTCACTAAGTAATATACATCAAGAGCTACTTTAAAAAATCCACAAATGTACAATACATTTAAAGTGTGAACATACCAATGAATAAGAAATGTTCACACTTTTTTTTGTGTGCGTTATATGCGTGGTTAATGAATCAGACTAAATGACAGTCTGAATATGCGCCAATGTAAAATGAAATGACATTGTGCCGGAGCATTCAGCTGATTATTTCCCAGTCGACTCTTATAATAGGACTCATTTATGCGGTATAGCTTGACTCAGTTTATGTTTTATGCCTTATTTTTCTGTTAGAATAATAAATACAGCCAGCTCCAGAGGTGTCTTGAAATATTTCATGGTTCTCGCCAATGACATTATGCTTGAGTATCTTCTCAGCAGTCCTGGCTCGCTGTATTTGAATTTATGTAGGGCTGTAAAAGTGAAATTGATTTCCGATCAAGCAGAGGAGCTGGACTGGGTCTCATCCAGTCCCATTAGCTCTGCATCAGAGGAGACACGTGTAATTGCTGCCGATCACATATTAGAGTGAACCCTCAGCGACTGCTGACTGTGCGGAGACAGAAGCAGAGGTAACAAAGACGCCAACACTCATTTAAAAGCTATTTCTGACATTTTGTGTTGCAAATGTAATGTAGCTCAGAGAAGACATGACAAAATTGTTAAAAAGCAGTTTGTAGGATATAGCCTACAGTGTAGGCCGCAAAATAATTAAAGGGGTGGTTCATTGCGATTTCACTTTTTTAACATTAGTTAGTGTGTAATGTTGCTGTTTGAGCATAAACAATATCTGCAAAGTTATGAAGCTGAAAGTTCAATGCAAACGGAGATATCGTCTTTTAAAATTCTGGCAGTTTAATGCCTACAAAA